ACCAGCAGCAGGATGGGAGAACTGGGTCCCCCAGCCAGGAGGATCTTGAAACGATCCGCCAAGCCGAGCACAACATCTCCGACAACCTCTGGCTTGATGACACCGGCGAGGCACCACCAGACGCCACCATGTTACACGAGGACGAGATCTTCCAGTTCCGTCCAACCAAACAACCACGGCACGAACACCATGAGCCGACAGCAGAACATGCACCAGAGCACGAAGCAGCTACTTTTTCCCGAGGTCCAGCCAATGACTGAACCTTACACGCTTGCAACGCTACCATCACCGGTAGCCCATGGCCAGGGCACAACACAAGCATCTGCCGCAGCAGCTTCTACGGAGACAAACATCCAGCAGCAGCAGCAGCAGCAGCAGCAGATGAACTGGCAGCAAAACACATCTCAGCAGACGGTGAATGTCCACCAAGACCGTCGAAAGATCACGGTCAACATCGACTCCCCGACATACCAAAGGTATATGGTCCTGAGCCGACATTCGGACCTACACTGCCAACACCGAGATCCATCCGAGGACGCTCACGAGCAGCGCCCGGAACACCTCTTGCTCCCTACGACACTGCGGGGCAAGAACAAAGACCAGTGCCGACCACCCCGGCACTGGAACAAGACACCACCGCCCAGGATCCAACAGGTTTCCCTGAGGCAACAGCAGGCGACACAGCCGATGCACAACTGGCTGAACCACCAGCTGAACCAGCATCAACCATTGAGGCACCAGCCAACATGACGTACCTCGTCAACTGGGATAACTACCTCGACATCTATGACGACAATGCAGCCACACTACGGGCCCCTCACGGGGACGGCAGCCCCGAATACCAAAGCCCACAACAGCCCTGCAGGCAGTTCTACAAGCCATACCTCAGCAGCAGCAAGCGCAAGCAAGAACTAGCACAGCAGGACATCACAGACAAGCCGGAGCAATCGGACAGCGAGAGCTCTGATGACCAGTGTCAAACCAGCGACAGCTGACACGCCAAGAATTGAAGCAGCTCGACCGTGAGCTCCCCTAGCGTGAGATCATGGCCATGCCTTGGCACGTGGTCGAAAAGTTCATCAACTCCGCTCTCACGGAGTACCAAGGATGGATGAACTGGTCAACAATAAGGCCCCTGACCCGAGACGAAGTTACGCGGGTGATGAACGACCCTGCATTGAAGCGCCGCATACTGAAGTCACGGGCGGCCTACAAGGACAAGTCCAAGGGCATCGGCAAGCTCAAGGCAAAGACCCGAGTGGTCTTGATCGGATGCCAAGATCCGGACCTGCGGCAGTTGACCAGAGACTCGCCAACACCCACTCGGCTGTCCGAAGCCATCATCATGACAATTGCCGCAAGTGGCGCCAACCGCCTGTTCCAAGGAGATGGGCGACTATGGTCGCTGTGGCTGTCAGATGCCGAGAAGGCATTCCTCCAAAAAGAACAAGATTCAACTGAACGGCACGATCTGCCGCTGTTCATGGAGCCACCTTCCGACCCCATCATCCAGGCCTCTGGTGGCTTCTCCGCTCCGTTGTATGAGGTCAGTGGCAATTGCTACGGCCTCAGCAACGCCCCAAGAGTATGGTACAAGAAAGTTGACCGCACGGTCAAGGGCGCCTCCTTCCAGCAGCACTCCTTTGACAGGTGCTTTTATACCCACCGCGGTGAAGACGGCCTCCTCGACTGCCTCATGATCGTGCACGTTGATGACTTCATGGCAGTCTACTCCGAGACCTTCGATCTCGACACCCTCAAGAACCTCTTTTCTTGGGGAAGCACCACCCTCATCACCACGTCCACTCCGGGCGAGTACCGTGGCAAAGAAATCTCCCTCCATGAGGAGAAAGGCAAGTTCTACTACAAGGTCACTCAACGTGGCTTCATTGAGAACATGCACACGGCCAAGCTGCCCAAACGACGCCTCAGTGGTGACCCAGGCCTCACGGCCGATGAGATCAAAGAGTACCGCAGCGTGTGCGGCTGTCTGCAATGGTTGGGAGGGCAAACACGCCCAGATGTTTGCGCCGCTACCTCACTGACACACCGAGGCGGAGCAGCCCAGATCCAGGACCTTCAGAAGCTCTACGACGTGATGGAGCATGTGCGCAGCACCAAGGAGCAAGGCCTGACCTTTTTGGGCATTCCGCTCAACCTAGCTTCGGTGATAGTCACGTTCACCGATTCCAGCTGGGCCAACGCTGACAAGCACAAGTCGCAGTTTGGTGTGCTGGTGACACTTTGTCCACCACAGGTGACGCAGGTCACCTGCAATGCAGTCCTTCTCGACTGGAAGAGCGGACGCTCACCACACGTCTGTCGTTCGACGCTTGCAGCTGAAGCCTGTGCGGCCGACGAAGGAGGAGACAGAGCAGCATTCATAAACTTGATTGCTGCATGGCACCAAGGCCTACAAGGGCAAAGCAATGCTCTCCTCCATGCTCTGCGTTGACGCCAAGAGCCTCTACGACTGCTTGGTTCAGGAGAACCCCTCGGTCACCGAGAAGCGGCTGATGGTGGAGCTGCGTAGTGTCCAGCAGGTTTTCGAACCAAGAAGTGTTCGATGGGTGCCGACGCACCTGATGCACAGTGACGGTCACACTAAGGTTGATGATGGCCTCATGCTGGCCTTGTTGAAATGGTGTCAAGCACCATGGGCACAGCTTGTTGAGGAGCAGCAAAAGCTGAAGAACAAAGACCAGTGTGAAATGGATGCGGTACCCTCCAATTGAGCCTTCCGCCTTTTGAGCTTTTGCCACTCGTCGCATGGGCCCGAGATGGCCATTTGAGCCTTTCCTTTTCACTTGTTTCATGCACCGCCCTTGGCCATGGAAAAGATCGATCGAGCGGTTTGCTGAGACGCCTTTTTACCCCTTTTGAGCTGCAGCGTGCATTTGCAAGCACTGCTGCGAGACTATATATCCAAACACGCATACACGCATACACACATGCATGCATACATACACGGGTATGTCGTGGATCCTTTGGACACTTGGACTTGCAACAAGAGGCCTTAAGAGGTCTTAAGACCTCCCAGGTTCTAAGATTCCCCAAAAAGTTTTGGGATAATCTTAGATATTAGAGGCTGATAAGTCTTAAGACTTTCCTAAGACCAAGTCTTTCCCAAGCCCGCTATTTCGCAGTCAAACATAAAAGTAATCTCACCAAGTTCTTTTTAGATAGAAGTAATCTCAAAGTGGCAGTTATAGAGAAGACAATTCAATGTGTGAATTCGATAGAGGTAATCTCAAAATGTTAGCCAGTGAGAATTGAACTCAATAAGTGAATCTGATAGAAGTAATCTCAATATGCCAGTCAGTGTAAAAACAACTCAATGTGTGGATTAGATAGATCAAAATACTAGTTATTGAGATTGCAACTCTTTTCTTCTCTTCTTCTCTCCTCCTCCCTTCTCTTCTCTTCTCTTCTGTTTTTTGAGAAGAGAATGAGAGGGAAAGGGAATGAAAGAGACGAGAGGAGGAAGAAATGCTACTGAGATGTCATGCACACCAGTGAGCCTGTCAATTGTCAAGTTACTGTGTGGTTGTTACAGTTGTAAAACATTCAGTTAATAACAACAAGCTGCATTCACCAATTCGTTTTGAAACGCAGATGGCACAAGTTCAAGTCATAGTATGATTTGCGGTGATCGCAAAAGTATTTTACATTGTAAGGTACGCAAGTAAATGTGTGAATTGTTGTGTTACTCTGTAATATTCACAGTTGTATAATATTCAATTCAACATGTCAGGTGTACAAACCGAATGTAATAGTGTCAATTCGTTAACTCACAACTCACATAGTCAGTTGCACTCAGAAAGTTGACTTTTTACAATTGCATTAAATACAACTAACAGTGTGAGTCGCAGCAATGGTATATAATATTGTACTTTGTCGTAAACACAAGTTAGCCTGTCAATTGTAATGTCTATTTGTGATTATGATTGTCGCAGTTGGCAAATAATCATGCATGTATTGAGTTTTTCAACTTCAATGTGAGAGTTGCATTCATCAGTTCTCACCCTTCCACACTTGTATTACGACTGAAGGTATGAGAAGGCTAACAATAACAATGTACATTACAGTATCAATTGTGTTCATCAAATCTCATATGCACACGTGCATTGTAAACACTTGGCAACTTGACAATATGAGTTGCAGTTGCAATCTTAACATATGATAGTATCAATTGTCATGCACACAAATAGTTCTATGAATCTATGTGTTACCCTGTGGTCAATTTTCTGGTTGTGCAATCCCAATGTTATAGTGTGAATTGATGAGGCTTACAACTCACATCGTCAGTTATATTCACAGATTCTCATGTTTGCAGACAGTGTGAGTTGCAATGTTGAAAAATAAACATGTGATCTCACCAATTGCTGTTGCAAATGTAAAATGACATTTGATTGTGTGACTGTCACAAATGTACAATATGCAATTCCTAATTTGAGTTGGTTAAATGTAATGTCGCAGTTCAAAAGACAAACTAACAACTCAGATAATCAGGTGTATTCATTAACTGTCATTGCACTGGGTACAACTGACAGTATGAATTAGAGTGCTCATATACAATATTGTTCATTGCCATGTGCACAATTAGTTCTGTACATTGTGGTGTCTTCACACTTGTACACCATGAAACTCACACTTTGAATTATTCAAATCCAATGTAAACGACTATATCCATCAATTCCTATGTGTGGAATTGCATTAGATACAACTAACAATATGAATTGAAATGCCTCTTCGTTCTCTAATGAATTTCCCAACCTTGGAAATATTTTGCCTTTATCTGTGTGCATTGGTCAGCCGTTCTGCTTAGATTCTTGCATTCAAATCACTTGACTCAAAACCATTCTAGCAAACCAAAAAGGTAGACATTTCAGGGGGGTAGCTATAATATATATGCCAATATGCATTATAATGTAATATTGGGGATGGAAAAGGGAATGTATTTGAGGCATTGGGATTTTCTGTTTGTCGGTGTCACTGAGGCTACGTCTTTTGGGCCAACATGGACGGAACAGCTTGCAGCTTAAATTGGCGGGCTGAAATTCACAGGAAGGCACACAGACGAGCTCCATGTGCAAGTATGTCCAAACTCAAGTTAGCACAAGGCGATCAAGGCGAAGCTGCTAATTCATTTGCAGTCCGAGGTCAGCAAAAACTAATGCGTGTCACGAGAAGACCTGTCCATACTTGTACTGAAATTTGGATAAATCGATTTGAGGGCACCCTGTGTGCGAGGCAAAGGTTCTTTGTGAGCTGAGGTGCAGAAGCTGGGGCAGTTGAAAGAACATGCCGAGCGGCTGGTGGGATTTGCATCCAGCACTCCCAAACTCAAAGAACGGTTTGGACAAAGAATGAAGGAGTGGCTCAGCAAAATTTGCAGTTACTGAGGCGAAGTGTTAGTGTTTGCTTTTGTCCATGGTGCTGTCATCGGGGGGCTCAGTGGTTAGGGACCATCGCTGCAATTGGTGACAATTGTCACTCTGATTTTTGCAAGAGTCGAGAATAAATATGGCAACTTGCTTGCTCATTCAAAAATATCTACAATTGTTTCCAGCATCTAAGGTACGGTGTTTTCTGGTCAGACCTGGAACAGTTGTGCAGCAAGTACAGTTCTGACCACCACGCAACTTGTCACTGTTTGAATCCATTTATTTCCTGCACTGGATTGCTCCAGTTCGTGCACACCCTTGTCCTCCGACTTTTTGTTCGCGATATGATTATTTGAATTGCGTTCAATTTGGTGATGTTTTTATTTAGACACTAGGAGCAAGGACGCTACTAGGGGCTCCTGGCCATACTACTAGTAACAAGAAGCTACTAGGGGCTCCTGGCATCGCTACGAACGGAGCAAGGACGCTAGGGTTGCTGTTGCATGCTGAGGCCGCCTCCGCACAGATGAGAGTAGTGGTGCGTGTGTCTTCAGCTGGACACGAAGTTTTGCATGTTCGATCGATCACAGTTAGGCATGGCCAATGTGGGTATTGTAGGCTCAATCCATTCCTGGCGTTTGCAATTCACTTATATGCTTTATTATGTTTTTATATAGGTTTGCCACTTGGGATCCTTTTTTTAGTTCTACTCGCAGTCATAACTTCCTGACAGAAAGCACAAGAAGATTCGCCACCCACAATTTGTTGACATCTCGCGACATCCGCTTAGGAAGTGTCAATGGCAACAGACATCCGCGACACCGAAAACAGTGCTTATGCCGGGGTCCGTGCCGCCCAAGGATCAGCAGGACAACCAACAAGGCTTATGTTCCATTCCACTGACACCAACAAGGCTTATTTGTCCCAAGCAAAGAGACGTTTGAAGCGCCTGCAGCCTTTGCAGGAGCATTTGCTGGCCATGATGCGGAGAGCACAAGCGATTTTCCCAGCGGGACGGTTTGAAAAATACAATACTGTAAAACAAATTCTTGTTTCGCATGATGCCAGAACCGTCCAGCTAGCCAATTCAGACCTAGAATCTAATGGTTCGATTGGCCCTTTGGTTGGCAGATTCTGGTGGCCATTTTTGTAGAAGAGCCTTGCTGGTTTCCGCCTTCGTGGCCGACCATCTTGTCCAGCAGGTTTCTTCTGCGTGGCGTTGTCAAGAAACGGGTGGGATTTGATGAGATGTAATTCTGTATGACACATTTGATCGAGAAGCAACTGCTGAATTCTTGGAGTTTCCAATTGAATGATCATGCTCAACACAGCAAAGTCTTGCTTACCTACTTACCTGATTCCACCACTCAGAGGATAAAGACTTTAAGGGTCGCTGGAGAATCTGTCAGTGGTGTCTTGGGGTCCCTTTCCTGACGTGAAACGTCGAAGCAGATGTGGGTGCTGCTCGAAATAGCAATGGCACAGCGCGAGGTCACTCAAGTCTGCAAAAGTTAAGTTTCCCTAAATAATCTAGAAACCAAATCATTAGTTCGAGCGCTTCTTCAAGGAAGCTACCCCCGCCCCCAGGCGGGGTGAGCTTCCTTGAAGGCCCGTGAGCTATCCTGCGTCCATACTAATAGCTTAAGTAAGGTACTAGTTACTAGCGACTACCTCCCTACTAGCTACCTTTAGCTACTACCTCCCTCTTCTACCGGCCTACCCCCCTTTAAGAAAATGGGTATCCTTTGTCTTCTTTGCTTGATGTTCTTCCTATGCCGTACAGGTCGGAAAATGTTTGCCTTTCCTTGGAGACAGGAGGTGACTTCGCAGTCCAGGTTGCCTTGAAAGGTAGTTTCCTGCACGAATCCTTGAAATGAATTGGTTGGGACTTGAATGGACCATTGAACTGGCCATCAGCCTTGCAATGCAAGGCGGAGAGTGGTAGGGAGCATTCCTCCAAAGTTGTATTAATGCTGCATTGTTAAGGAGTGTGTCAAGTCTGAAATGACAGGATCACCCGACACTGGGTTTGCCAATACGTTTGTTGACAACGGAGCTGGTCAAGGTTCAAGACTGCGACGGGGCAGCATGAATGTTGCCAACCGTGTCTGAATATAAGACGCACATGGGGAAGCCAAGGGGCAACGAGACAGGCAAGCTCCCCAGCCTGAAGAGTTCATTCCTTCAAGATCAATTGGCAATTGCACATGCGTCATGAGTATTTACATAGATAAGCTTCAGTAGGTGCCATAGTGATCCCCATCTACATTTGGTTTGTATATATGTAGAATGTCAACTCGGATGTTTGATGTGACACTGGGTGGCCTACAAGTACAGAACTGCTGGCACACATCATCCGCTCTGAAGGGTCCCGTTGACCCCAGGGCTGACTCCCAGTGCGCAGGCGACATATGCCAAGTTTTAGAGGGCGACCTCTTCGGAGAGATGACCACTGCTTGAAGCCAGAAGGGCTCATTTGGGAAGAACCCAGTACACCATGCTGTCCTTGTTCCACGCTGCACGATGCCCGTGCCCTTCAAGAGTTTCAAGCCTTCACTTTTTACCTTCGGGGGTTGTCCTCCTCAGCAGGAGCCTCATGGTTCTATTGGTTCTTTTGATCTTGAACATTCACCATCACCTCACCAGAGCATTCAGCACAATATTTCACCTTAGGATTCAGAGGGTGCATTGCATAGATGTTTTACATCAGCTCTTGGTTGTGATACGAAGTGGTGTGAGGCTCTTCAGGCTCGATTCGATGCGAACATTTTGGCGGCCCTTGCCCAGACCTGGGCATCTATGCTAGTGACCAATTGCGAGTTCAATCGGCATGTGGGAGCAAACGATTTCATGTTTACCCATGTTTGAGCGGAAGGTCTTTGCATTCCTTTGAATTCCAGCCGCTGGCTATGAAATTCTTTGTGTGTGGATTCAATCGTCCGATCCCGTCACAGGTTTGCCTTGAGGGATCTTGAGGGAGTAATAGTTGCACATTGTTAGGCAAGCAGCTGATGGCAGCAGGGCAAATCATGCGATTCGGTGCTGAAAGACAAGAGCGGTTCTCATTTTTGCGTTTCCCATGATCTGTGCTCCAGCCCTTGGACTCGCATGCATGGAAAGTTGGCCGCCGTGGCGGCTCTTTAAATCTTGGCTGCCATTACTGGTGGGAATTATCCAACTTCTCAAGACTTCTGAACTTGAAAAACTGATTGGTGGGTGTTCGAGTAATATTTTGCAAAAACGTTGGCAACCCATCGTGCATCCAGCGCCATCCAAGTTGATTCCTGATCCAAGGCCACAAAATGAAGCTCCGTGTTTGCGCACTGCACAGTGCACGGGCATTCATGCAGTCAAGATGACCTCAATGCCGGTTCTCGAGCCCTTCCCATTCAAATATTTACATTTACTGTAATTGCATTTTCTTGCACTAACCTCATCATGTACATGTACCCTGCTAGAATGCGGCCCGAGGAAATGAGTGCGCCGGAGGGACATTAGTTTTTTCTTGGTGGCGAGTCGATCGTCGATTCGGAGCAGAGCAGCTTCGAAGGGCAAGCGCGCATCAGGACACAACCTTGAGCACTCATTGCTGTGGTTACATTGAGTTGTTTTGGCGCTGTGCTTCTGCATTTGCTATGGGAACTCTAGATCTAGCAATGAAAGATGAGCTGAGGAGAATTCAACCACAGCTTGCACAACAACAAACGATGCTTGGACAACAGCAGGCTCAGATTCAGGCCCTGTCAAATCAAGTTCGGTCCGCGGAGGAAAGGGCCAGGACTGCGGAGGAGGAGAGGGCAATCGCCTTAGATTAGAAGAGAGAGACAGAGAGAGAGAGAGAGAGAGCCTTTTTGATAGGAAAACAGCTCACGTTTCTCAGAGTTAAGTTTGGTTCTCAGGTTTGGCTTGACTGTTTGTGAGAAGAAAGTTGGTTCCGCAGATAGGAGGTCCGCTGAGAGTCCAGCTGACAAGATCGATGGGATCAAGACTCAAGACAATGATTGGTGGATCTCTCTCTCTCTCTCTCGCGCGCTCTCTCTCTCTCTCGCTCGCTCTCTTGTTCGCAATTCTGGTCCCCATGGTCTCGAGATGTCTCGAGGCTTGGAGGAGGCTGCGTGCAGAGTATGATCCCACACCGTCTATGAGAAGAGTTGCAATCCTTGGCCGCCTTGGCCTAGTTCAAAATCCACCTCATTGCAAATCAGTTGGTGAGTTGGGTGGTGCCTTGGAACAGTGGCTTTCCCTCAAGCGGCAGCACGAGGTGTTTACAGATCGTGATGGGAACCCAATCAAGTCTTCAGTCTAATGGCATCATGGTACATGTTGGGTTTGAGGCCGTGATGTTTGGAGTTAGAGCTGGGCTACCCAACTTTGGGTGACCTGTTTGACAAGCTGCCGAGCTATGCTTTAAACAAACACAGTCTCTACCTCAGACGTTGTGAGCAGAGTGGTAGCAAATAGAGTTCGAAGAAAGAACCAAGTTCCATGGACATCAGTGTGATAAATGTCGAAGGGCAAGAGCAAAGGCAAAGGAGGAGGAGGAGGAGGAGGACAAGGAGGAGCTCAGGCGGTTTGCTACAATTGTGGCAAGCCAGGTCATCGAAAGTCGCAATGTCGAGCTCCTGGAAAAGGTGATGGAAAAGCCCAAGACCGCAAGTCCAACGTGACGCTCTGGGTTTGCAAAGGCTATGGCCCTTATGGGGAAGATTGCCCATACAAGGCTGGCAAGTTGAAAGGATGAAAAGGGAAAGCGAAATTCAATGGCGCTGGCAAGGGCAAGTCCGATGGTAAGTCTGGGGAAGGCAAGCAGAACAACTGTCAGTGCAAATGCCGGTGAGGAGCGCCGTGCAGAAAAGAGCTGGGCATGTTGGATTTGAACAGTTTCACAGCTGATGACAAACCACCTTACATTGTTGCAGATTCGAGGGGTGATGTGATTGGGCTCGCATCAACTATGACAGTGGAGCAGCCGCAACAGTGATTCCAGCAGACTTATTGCAGCAGAAAGAAGTTGGTTTAGTTGAGAAAGTTTGTTGGTGGAGACGGTGGCTCAATTCCTCGATATGGACTAGTGAGGATGAAAAGGCTGCGCAAGGCATGTGACTGCAACAGTAGCTCAAGTTCACAGGCCATTCGGAAGCGGAGCTTGGCAAGTCACGAAAGGTAGCTTCGGCTACCTGAGTTGTCTTTACTTTAGCAATATGATATTGGGGGTGGTGAACTCTTCCCGCGCCTGATTTCAACTCCACCCTGCGCCGCTGAGAATTTGGGAGTGATCTGGCTTATCAACTGTGGTTTATTGCCATCTGCGGTCTATTGCTGGCTGCTGCTGCTTGTTGCTGCTTGCTGTACTGCGCGCTCCTTCCTGTACTGCTTGCTGCTGTGTTGCTTGTTGCTGGCTGCTGTCGCTGGTGCTGGTTGCTGCTATTGCTGCTGCTCGTTGACGCTGTTTGCTGCTGCTGCTGCCGCTGTTGTTGTTGTTGTTGCTACTGCTGCTGTTCGTTGCAGCTGGTTGCTGCTGCTGCTGTTGCTGCTGCTTCTACTACTGCCACTGCTTGCTGCTGCTGCTGCTGGTTGTTGCTGCTGCTGCTGGTGTTGCTGCTGCTCCTGCTGCTGCTGCTGCTGATGATCCTGCTGGTTGCTGCTGCTGTTTGGCTGTTGCTGCTGTTGCTGTTGCTACTTCCTGCTGGTTTCTGCTGTTGCTTGAGCCCTGAAGGCTGCTGCTGGGGTGGTTGCGCATTGCTTCCAGAGGGGCTCCACCCTCTTTCAATTTCGTCTGTGCAACCCCCGGAAACTGAACGAAAACCTAGGGTTATGGAGGCCAGCCAAACTTGTGTGAGCTTAAGTGGTTTTTTGCTGCCGCCGCCGCTGCTGCTGCTGTTGCAGCCGCTGCCGCTGCCACTGTTGTCACTGCTGCTGCTACTGCTGCTTTCTGCTTTGCTGCGCTGCAGCTGCTGCTTTGCTGTAGCTGCTGCTGCTGCTGCTGCTGCTGCTGCTGCTGCTGGCACTGCCGCCGCTGCCGCCGCTGCTGCTGCTCGTTTGCTGGTGCTGGCGCTGGCGCTACCTTTGCTTTGCTTGCGCTGCCTTGCTGGTTTGCTGCTGCTGCTGGCTGCTTGCTCCAGCTCAGAATCTTCCAACTTCTGCCTTTCGTCCACCTCCATCGCCTCAAGTCTCATGATTGCATTCTGTGGGACGCGGGTCGCGTTCTTCTTCCGAAGTGTGGCAAGCTGGTGCAAGAACCCAGGAAAGTATAGATATGACGGGGTATGATGGGTATGGCGATGGCGCTGAGCTTGCAATCCATCGTGAAGGCCAGCTTTGCAACAGCCTCCAGAGGCTTGGCGAGGCAGTTGCGGGGCCAA